ATTGAGCATTACTTACTTTCACAACGGTATCCTTTGTACATAGCGGGACATACACAGTAATAGTGACCAGAGTGTACTTTGCATACACCCATGTGGTAGCATGGGTTCGGCTTACAAACATGCTCTGAAAATCAAACTTGATGTTATTAGCACTTGGACCGGAAATGACATCATTATCACGTGACTTACTTTCACAGYTGCGTCCTACATAGCCAATCCTACAGGTACATTTATAGCCAACGTCAGTCTCGTGACAAGTACCACCATTATGACATGGACTGTTGAAACACTTCTTGGGCTCTAGGAACAACAACATGGGTTACCTTTGGCACTTGGTAAGGGAATACCACATTAGCTGATGGGTTACCTGTGCATAACGTTCCCTTAAAATCTATYGGACATATGCATTGGTATTTTTCGTTGCCAATCCGCTGACATGTGGCACCGTTTTTACAGGGATTAGGATAACACCGATTTAAACCTGAACATTAAAAGTTAGATTTAAAAGTACAATTATGAATAAACAAAGAAATATAAAATACGATGATAATTACTCTCGCAGCGATCTCCTATAAAACCGTCTTGACAAGTACACAAGAATCCTTGTTCGTCAGCGATTAATGAACATTGCCCATTGTTTTTGCATGGATTTGGTTTGCAGCGATGGCGACCTGGTCAGAAAATTTAAAGTCATCAAAAGAGAGCCGKTATGTCGGGATTGGTAGGTAGCAGCGATGTGGAATTTGTTGGACGATTAATCTAGTTGTGGATTTGATTCTTACCATGGAATGCATGCGTCTAAACAACGTTCTAGAATATATCGACTTACGATCTGTTCACAAATCAAGATGGATAAAAGCGAGATCAATTCCACTCACGTTCACACACGATCCCAAGGTATTGAGCTGGACAGATGCACTGGAATGTGTTGGTCGCCTCGACACATGTACCACGGTTAAGACAAGGGTTGGACGAACAGTAATCACGTGCTGTGAATAATAAAATAATTAGTGACACTAGTTGCTGCAACAAACCACACCTACAAAGAACTTTATCATCCATTGGCCGGTTGGAGGGAGGATGAACAGAGCTATCAAACAGATAAATTCTTATCAGAAGTTGTGAACAAATAACACTATGAAGACCAAGATCTTACCTTCACATGTGCGTCCCTTGAATAACTTGGGGCAGATGCAGAAATAGTCGTGTGGTAGTTTGACATATATGGCTTTATTCTGACAGGGGGCATTGTGTACTGTGAAAATAACAATTGTATTGCAGATATTGTTTATATAAGCCCTGGCTCATATGTCGAGTCAGAATCGCTCCCAACCAAATAGTTTGAATTTAGGACATGAAAATCTCGACGTAGGAATCAATTGAGCACGGCAGCGCCAGTCATGCTGCATGGCAAAATCTCGACGCTGATTCGAGCTTTTTTCGTGCCGAACTTAACGGACAAAAATATCTGTTTTTGAAATAATAATAATATTAATAATAATAATGGATGTAAATTGCTTGTTCGACGTATGAATCAACACCGTACCGAATGTATTTGGGTCGACAAAAATTGACGATTTGGTTCGGCGTGACGATAGTACGACGTATGAACCGGGTCTAAGAAGTGTTTATTGCCGAGAACCGAGGTATTAAGCGAATATAGAACCCGAGTGAGTCGTTAATTAGTATATCCTTGATAAGGTTTTCTCGAACTTAATTTTTTTTCGTGCATGACATCATCATTACCTATGTTAGGCTGAAGTCATTAAACCTGTGAAACAAATCGTGACTATAAAAGTGATATAGTCAAATAGACAAACAAGAAAACAATGCAAGGTACAAATGTGTGTTAGTATTATATCTATTGAATAGTATTTCAAGGGTTATTTTGCTTCTATGTCTTCATTGTATAACCGCAGGACATTAAAACTACATGAAAGGAGTTATGCAAGGACTTCCTTTGGTATGCAGGAAACAAAAATAAAAAKAAATCAATTAAACAAAGAACTGATCACTTCCTTTTTAAGGGAAAAAGTTCTAAGTCTAATTCCCTAAGTATTCCCGTAGGTTACATATTAGGACTATATCCGTAAAAAGACCGGGTTATCTAAAATTTCTTGTAATATCAGGAAAATATGAGAAATACAGACCCAGAAGTAACAAAGAAAACCGATACTTTCTGTGAAAACACCACGGACAATCAAGCGTTTGTATAAAATCGAAAAAAAGTCTTTTAAACTTACCATGATCTCTGATATGTACATGTCTGATATCATATGTGGTCGGGACTGGGTAGGGTACAGCTACTGGTTTAGGAACGTATCGTACTGATAACACTGGATACGGTTTTGGTACAAAATGGACGTGATGTACAGGTCTTTCAATCAAGTGGCTAACTGGAGACACTTCAAGTCTCCCTGGACCATTGTATTGTCTTTTATTGCCGTCTGATACCTTCTCTGATGAGTTCTCTGATTCGCCTGATACCAAGTTATCTATAGATTCATCAATATCAGAAGTAGACGACTCTAAAGCTTTGTCTTCAGCCACAATAACTCCATATAAGGATAATAACAGTGAAGAGCTTATGATAAACAAACATGTCGACAGTTTCATAGTTAACGCGTAGTTGCGTGCGTTAAAACGTTATTAGTTTTTCGTAACAATTGAATATTAACGGAGTTTTAGGTCAAACCCAGACACAGAAGAAGCAGGTATGATGTTTGTAGAACAATAGAGTCCAGGTGAGGGGCTACACCCCGTATCACTTCACAGAACAATCAAAAAACGCCTATACAATTGGCAATGTGACAAACATCTTTAGAAGGGATACTTTGGGAGGAGTAGCAAAAAAAGTGCTTATTATTGTTACCGCAAAACATTCGTCAAAAGAGCATTGTTAAATTAGACTTCGTTTTACAACACAACCACTTCAAAATAGGCTGCCATAGACAATATTGAATACCCGACCAGCCATGACCGTTGGTGTTTATTATTTATGAAGGAAAACAACGAAAACCATAAAACCGTATTTTGATCTTCATTTTATATATATATATATATCAAAAACAGTATTGAATCTTGATTGACACAATACCCACACTACCTTTCGGTCATGCATTCTCCAATTTCTACGAAAACCGTTTTTAGAATAGATGTCTTTGAAGGCTCGTATTATCATTAATCAACTTATTCAATATTGATGATCATTGTTATGTCTAAGGAGTCTAAACACGCAGTATTGAAAGCTATTAGTGGAATTAAGCGAGTAAAGTCAGTGCGAGTAGTGCGTTAGAAGTGATTCTGGAGTCCAAGCCCTTCTGAACTACTAGAATATTATGTCTTGATTCTGACTATAAACAGGTGTTTGATGACAAGTAAATTAATCAACCTGTTACTTTATAGCAAGATCACAAAACCACGTGAAATAGACCCGTATCATATAGACTCGCTATCAAACAAGACCCGTATCATATAGACTCGCTATCAAACAAGACCCGTATCATATAGACTCGCTATCAAACAAGACCCGTATCATATAGACTCGCTATCAAACAAGACCCGTATCATATAGACTCGCTATCAAACAAGACCCGTATCATATAGACTCGCTATCAAACAAGACCCGTATCATATAGACTCGCTATCAAACAAGACCCGTATCATATAGACTCGCTATCAAACAAGACCCGTATCATATAGACTCGCTATCAAACAAGACCCGTATCATATAGACTCGCTATCAAACAAGACCCGTATCATATAGACTCGCTATCAAACAAGACCCGTATCATATAGACTCGCTATCAAACAAGACCCGTATCATATAGACTCGCTATCAAACAAGACCCGTATCATATAGACTCGCNATAGAAGCTATCAATTTGTATCTGATTAATTCGACTATTGGCAATCAGAAGTTCAAACACGGTTTTGTTGCCTTCCTTTGTGGGTTAGAAAGGCTTCCACACAACCCGAATTGTCAAAAGGACTTATCAATCATTACAACTATCAAGAATGGGGCCTTTGGCAGGTGGTCAGTCTATCGCGTTACAAGCATATTTACATGAAGTTGGATTCTTTCAAGAGCAACTTCACTTTTCATCCCGGGTACCCTGTGTTTTTAGTCAACCGACAAGAAACGTATTTGCCACGTAGAAACACCATATTTGGTATCATTAGCTGAGGTGATAACGATTTCGATTACATTTTATTCATTTTATTTAAAATCAAGAAGACATAATTTGTTTATGTAAAAATAATTTATTGAGTTTATTTTGTCTAAATTTGTTTTGTAACTTACAGTTGTACATGTGATTCATCTATTTATTCGCCGTTTATTTCCATTTTCTTTTTCATTTCTAATTCATCTATTCAATCATTTCTCATACATCCATTTTCAATTTTTAGCTGTACTTCATTTCTTTTCAATTTCAAATACATAAATGTTACAAACTTCCTTCCTAAACAACTATATCACGTGATTTGCTTTTTAATCGCATGCGTGATGTGCGACTTTTTGTTTCTCTTTATCTTCGACCTCAAAAAGAAACAGAATGATGAAATTAATGATTTTATTCTGTTTATTTATGATATTTATCCATTATCAATGTATTAATATCAAGAAAAGATTGACMTGATTGACCGAGATTTATATCTGTATTTATTATGAAATCTTCAGATTTTTACTTGATTAATCRCTTACGAACATTAACACTTTTTAAATTCTTTTCTCTTTATTTCATTCCCATTTTTATTCATTCAATATCAATTTTTTTAATTTATTTTATCCGTTAGTGTATTTATCCGTTATTTTATTGGTTGTTTTATTATTTAAATGTTTGTTCTACAATCTTAGCATCTCTGTGTGTTGTGTTTAGTTGAGTCTACTACTTGTTAAACATCGAACGTTACCTGGAAAAGGAGGTTGGACATGYTCCTGCAACACATGTTGTTGGACACGCGGCGCAGCTAACGGCTGCTGATGAAGAAAGTAATAGTCAGTCGKACAGAGTGCTACATAGATTCTAACATCGACAGACTGTCTTTGCTCCTCTCATTATATARACCGCTCACACTTGATCTCATCTCTTTACTCCGACGAAGGATTAACGTCCCAAACGTCAGTAAGTTGTTTCACCWACTTTTTACGGTGTTAAATTTATCTTTTTACACGACAGWAACAACAATAAAAGACTAGGCACTTACGAGGGCTGGGACATACTCCTGATACACAAGTTGTTGGACAAGAGGCACAAGTAGCGGCTGGAAGATACATGAATGATAGTGAATTTAAATCAAAAAGCTAAGCAGAGAGACATGCAGACAGACAGACAAAACAGACATGWKTAGAATACTCACGTTGACTTGGACAAGCTCCAGCGACACACGTTGTTGGGCAGGCGGCACATGAAGATGCTAAAAAAATAGATCAGGTTACTGTAGACAGAAGACAAGGACGCAGACAAACAGACAAACAGACTGACTTACGTTGGCAGTGATATCCATTGCCGATGTATTGATCAAAACAAACGCAGAGTCCTTTGAGACATTGTGCATTGGGACTACAGCCATCACACTCGTTTTCTTTTTGAATAAAATACATGTCATGAATGTTATCATCATGATTGTTATTATCATTATT